AGGCTAGGACCTCTCCTCAGCTGTTCCTGCCTCCCCCCCCAGAGAGGACGGAATGCTTCCTACTTCCTCCAGGAGAGCAACCTTCCTCTCTTCCTCCCTCCCTCCTTCATGGCGTGCCCTGGGATGTTAAGCCCAAAGGCATGGCAAGTGAGTGCAGGGGAAGCTGGGAAGTCTCACACTGTCCTAACTTATAAAGGAAGGAAGGACCATATGTGGCAAGTCAATAAAACAACAAAATATTCTATTTCCTCTCAGCTGAGTAGGAGAAACCTCTCGGGGATTTTCTTAGAGGTGGAAAGTGTGGTCCATGATGCATTTCCCGGGAGTCATAAGATCACTATTTAAAAAGCTCAAGGCCACTCGCTATCCATGACACTGACACATCACTGCCAGCCCTGGCTGCTGTGAACCAGAAATGCAGATTGCTCTCACCGGGGGACATCACATTTTTCTCTCTAATGAAACCAGGGTGGCTGGGCCTCTGGGCAAGCTATCTTCCCGAGACAGGCAGGCGCTCGGCCTTACAAGTGTGCCTGTGAATGCTGAGGCCTCCGCAGTCATGTGCCAGAAACATGAATTATGTTTCTCTCTCGGGTTCAGGGATATTTTTCTTTGCCAAAACCAAGGTTTGGGGGCAGCTGGGAAGGCTTGTGGTTTCCCCAGACCTGGCAGGAAGCAGCTGGCTGCTCTGCAGCTCTGGGCATGGATCAGTGGAAAGACATTCTCCAGACCTGACTCCAGCCTCAGCACAGGCAGGTGCCCGTCCTCACAGCTCGCCCAACCCCTGCAGGCCTCTGGCTGCGCCCAGTGCCGCCCAACACGGAAGGGCTTATGCTGGGAAGGGCATGGCGGTTACAAGTGGCTATTCCTGTGCCAGATAAACCCTTTCTTCCCCTCCCATTAAATGGTGTGACTCCTCCCCGCAGGTTTTATCACCAGGCAGCTCTTTCAAATGCCCTGGGCAAGCACACATCGGCCTCCCTCCAGAGAAAGTACTTACACTCTCTACCTCTGCCAGGCCCCGCACACTCCTGCTCCCATAACCCGTCACCACCTCAATTGTCTACCCGTTTGCCAGGTATGTCGCCACCCACCATGCCTCTGCCTTCCGACACAAACGACCCCTCCAAAGCACCCGTGACCACCTAGGGGGACCGCCCATCTGTGAGATCGGCTGCCCTGGCAGCCGAGAGCCCATCCCAGCTCCCACAGGCCCGGGGGCTTCCTGACCCCGGGAATCTGCATCTAGTGGACGGGGATATGAGTCTCTCTCGGGGCTGCAGAGTGGCTCAGAGACAGGATGAAATGCTGTGGACGGAAAGCTCCCGTGGTGGTGGTTAGTTAGCATCTAGGCATCAGAGGGTCACTCCTTCACAACGTAGCTCAGTCTGTCCCTGGGCTGCCCTGAGGTTAGACTCTTCGTCCGGCTGTGCACTCACCCCTGACCCCTCGCGCTCCCACCTCCCAACCTCAGGCCACTATCCCGAGCAACAGAGAGACGACTGCACGCCTGCTACAGAGCAGGCCTCAGCCAAAGGCACCGCGCAGGTGTGCCCTGCTTTTCCTGACACCTGTCCTCAGCTGCCAGGGCTCCACCCCTCCCCACGCGGGCCACCCTCGACCTGCACTACCTGCACTGCACACCTCCAAGGCCCAGAGCGGAACTCCACCCCAGGGGGGCTGGGCCAACACTGCCCACATCCGCACAGACATCTCACAGCGCGGTTCACCTGGTGCAACAGCGGCCCTGCATCCTCCACACCCAGAACGTCCCCGGGCGGAGGTGCCCTCAGAGGCCTCGGGCGGTTCTGTCATCGCACACAGGGCTCACCCTTGGGTCTCACCCCAGGACTGCACCAGTGCGCCCAGCTGCTGAGGTCACTGACCATCAGCTCACCCGCTAAAGCAATGGGGAAGAAATCCTGCTGCATCACCACTCACCTCAGATGCAGAAAAACAAAAGAACAGAGACGAGGGCTGCGGCCTCTGCACTGTCCGGTGCGGCCACAGGTGGCTACCAGGACTTGAAGGTGCCTAAGCCACAGAGATGTGCCGCAACTGTCAATACACACCGACTTCAAAGACTTAGTGCCCCCAAATGTAACATATCCCAATGTTTCTTGCATTGATCACACACTGAAATCATACTCTGGACATCTTTAGAGGTACTGCGTTCAAAAACAAAACAAAACATACTATACCCTTCATTTCACCTGTTCCTCTTTACTCTTGTTTTTGAATCGGGTACCAGGAGGTGTCCAATGATGTGGCTTCCGCTGCATTTCTGTGGGACGGCAGCTGCTCCAGGAATCTTTCTCTGAGACAGCATGGTCGGTCAGCAGTCTTTCTTCCCAGATGGTTCACCTGCTCTGAACTGTCTTTGGGATCTCCTAATTCACATACCGCCGTCTTACCTGTGAAAATACTCTGGGCAGGTTTTGCCAACTACTTTTAACCCACAGATTCCTTACATTTCCAGATATCCGCAACCTTTAGGAAGGAGACACACACTCACTGACTCTTGGCCTGGCTGCTGAGCCCGGCTGATGGCTTCGCAGATCAGCGCTTCCCTCTTCTACTCCTGGTCAGGGGTCAGTTTCGTTGGGCGCTGATCACCTGCTCAGGGAAAGGAATGAGCATAAAGCAGGCGCGGGCCAGTCTCACTGTGCAGGAGTGCGGGAGCCCAGCACTAACCTTCATTCTGGGAGCAAAGAGCTCAATCAATGACCCCTAAATGCATGAGAGAACGGCCAGTGTGCTGTTCTCTGGGATCGGTATTCAGATGGCCACGCACACCCAGGCCCAAATCTGCACCTGGAGGACAGGGACCTCCAAACGGGACCTCCCAAACAGACACTGACAGACACCTGCTGAACCTGGGCCTCATCCACATGAAACCTCTGCCTACCCCTGCGAGATTTTCTCGGTAAGGAAGCATTTATTGCAGGAAGGAGGCTTTGGCACTGGCAGGACTTACGCTAGTTTTGAGGCTGTCTCCCGCCCATTCTATGACCTGGGTTCTATCACCAAGGTTCTTGGGCTGCTCTGTCCACCCCACTCTCTGCTGTAGGTGTTGGGGGATAAAGATGATTGCATAAGACCTGCCAGGACACGCCGGGCCCCTGCCACTCCTGGCCCATGCTCCTTCCTTTCCCTGGGCCGTCCCCACCCCCATCACACATTCCTGGCCTCTTGAGGGTGGCCCAGAGGGCGGGAGCATATGGCAGAAAGACGGTGCTACCTCCTCCTGCCACCAGTGACTGGCACCGCCCTGGCCACTTATTAAGTCTTTTGCAAATGTCTTTGGACGTCACAGCCGAAGGACCAGGGCCAGGCTCCAGGGTCAGATCAGTGCCAGAGGCCTGGTGCCATCACGGTTTCATGTCCTGCTCCTCCCTTTCTGTTACTTTTCCCTCCATTAACAAATGTAATTTAATTGGACACTGCGAAGAGAGATGAGCAGTATGTTCTAGAGGCATCCATCCCGCCCTCCTCCTGCTTTAATGGGAGCCAGTACCTGCCACCACTGCGGGCAGGAAGCCCGTCTGTATTTCCCTACAAGCCTCTCCATCCAGGGGCCGGGCCAGCCCGGGGATGAGTCCTTGCAGGATCTCCTCACCCGTCATCCCTACAGCAACTGGAACAGGAGATCCAGAGCCGGCCTAGACGGCTTCGAGGCCTGGGATGCACAGCCTTGAGCCCTGGGGGCAGGTGCAGGGCCGTGGCCTGAGCTACAGGCAAGCAGACGTTACAGAGGGGAAAAAGCAAGAGCCAAAATGCTGCAGAAGCAGAGGCAGGAGACCGCACAATCAGAGAGAGAAAGAGAGAGAGAGAGAGAGAGAGAGAGAGAGAGAGAGAGAGAGAGAGAGAGAGAGAGAGAGAGAGGGGACACCTGCTCTGGCCCCCCATGTACAGGAAGCCTCACCTTCCTGCCGGCAGGTTCCGCACTGGCCATGCCGGTGATCCCCTGTAAGAAGCTTCTGCACCTGTAAGAAACCGGCTTCGACCAAAACACCGCCCCCCAGCACCACCTCCCAGCCCCGCACAGCCCGAGGCTTCATGAACACAGACACCCCCTGGGCCTCCGACCACACGCCGGTGGAGAAATGACCACACAGAAGCCTCTGCCCACCCCGGCGGCGAGCGAGCTTGTCTCAGGAAGGAAGCGTTTATTGCAGGAAGGAGGCAGGAGTCTAACAATGCGAAGGGACTACGGGGCCCACCGGGTGAGAAGAGGGGAAGCAGGGAGAACAGTACGCGGGCTATGTACAGTCATTAAAAAGAGCAGGTGGTGGAAAACAAGGGAAAACTGCCAGCAGCCTTCCAGGAGGTTAGTAACAGAGGGGAGTGCCTGTGCCCAGTGCCCTGTGCCCGGCGGCGGCTCCTCGCTGCCTCCCGGCTCCGGGGGAGGCTGGGCCGGCGTCCCGCTCGCTCCCGGGTTCGGAGCCCGCGATGCCGCAGCGCCAGGCCTTCCATCCGAGCCCGAGGCCAACTTTATTAGCGTTTTCAGTTCACATGTGGGAGGCGTGGAGGGGAAACACACAATGTCCAGGGGAGAGAGGCCCCTCCCTTGGGCTCCGTGTACAAATAAATACCCAGTGTTGTCGCCCTGAGCCCGGGCCCGGGGGGTCCTGTCCGGGTGCGCTGTCCTCCCGGTGGGATCCTCCACGGAAAGCCGGTCCCCGAGGTCCGCAGGGAAGCCCCAGCGCCTCCCCCATGACACCCCCACCCGGGGCGGCCGCAGCCCCAGGTTCCCGGTAAGAAAAGGGGCGCTCGGAGCCGCGCGGAGCTCCTTCAAGGAGGGGAAGGTGGTCTTGGCTCATCCAAAGTGTTTCTATAAAAATGCTGGGAAAAAAGTTGCACATTCTGGCGACGCTGTGATAGGTCCATGGAACCGAAATTCGGGTCTTTTAAAACCAGCCGCTGCGAACGGGTCACCAAAGCTGCCGCTGCCCGTGCCACCCCGGCCCGAGGGCAGCGCGGGGGGCGGAGCGAGGGGGTCAGTCCCGGTGGCGCCGCCAGGTCCCCGCGCGCTCGCAGCCCGGGGCGGGGGCGCAGGGGCGCGGCGGCGGGGACCCCGGGGCGCCGGGGGGCTCCTGGGCGGAGGGAGGCACCGGAGAGGCGGGCTCCGGCCCGGGCCGGCCGCCGTCCTGCCAGTGTTTGCTGCCGAAGATCTGGCCCTCCTTATCTAGAGCCGTGTTCTGCGGAGAGAGCGGGACAGCGCGTCAGCCTGCGGCCGGGCGGCACCACCACAGCGCGTAGAGCATGCAGGGCTCAGGGACAGAGGAGGAGAAATAACCGGCCTCTCCTGGCAGAAGCCCGCGCACCCACAGGCGCAGGGCCCTCCCCTGCGGCTCCCTGGGCGCCCCTGCGGCTCCCTGGGCGCCTCTGCACCCTGCATGGCGGCTGCGGGGCCTCTCCTAGCTCCGAGCTGCACCTGAGTTCTGAGAGTTTCTTCCGGGGCCCAGACCTGGAGCCCAAAGGAACCTGCTTCCATAAGCAAACCCTAGGACAGGGGTCGGCAAACTCATCCGTCCACAGAGCCAAGAATCAACAGGACAATGATTGAAATTTCTTTTGAGAGCCGAAAAACCGACTTGGGCGCATGGGCCACAAAGTTTCAATCGCACCGTGCGCGCCAGCACATGGTATTTTGTGGAAGAGCCACACTCATGGGGCCAAAGAGCCGCATGTGGCTCGAGAGCCGCAGTTTGCTGACCACTGTCCTAGGAGAAGGTTAGGGATTTGACCGTGAACCTTGCTCCAGAAAGCTCTCCATCTCGGGTGGAAAAGCTACTCGTGGGTCATACACCCCACGCGGCTGCTTACACCATGGAAGGTTTGGGAACCGATCCTCCACGATCCCTCACCTGCCCTGCTTTATCTCATCGCGCCCCGACTTTTCTAATCTGCTTAGCTATCGGGGGGCACAGCGACAGCCCCAATGGTAAGAAATCACCTTGCTTTCTGGCCCTACCCTGGGCAGGAAGACTTTCCCCTCCTCTGACTCACTTTGAGGATTCCTTGTTTGTCCAGTGGCACCCGGTCAGCTCTTAGGCACCTAGCTAAAAGGCACAGCCATCAGAAGGTGTTTTGTAACCTAACTACCTTGGGGAGAGGGGGGAATGTACCCCGGATTCCTTCAGTACTCTGACTGAAATAATAAATAAGTCTGGAGAAAATCTGAATCACCACAGGACTTTCTGAGAGAGAGGGGCGGCTGCCTTAGGGCCCTTTGTGTCAGTGGTCCACGGGCCCTTCCGAGCTCAGGCTGAATATAGGTAATTTCCAAGGACCATTTCAGTGACCGAGCAGAGGTAACTGTGGAAAAGCCAAATCAGATCCTTAGTGTCGCTCTTCCACCAGCTTCCCGCCCCCAGCCACCCCTTGCAAGAACATGGACCAGGGAGAGGCAGCCTTCAGTTTTTTCTACCCCAGAATTTCTGCCGGTAGAAGAAACCGCCAGCCATCCCGTTATTTCTCCTCTTCTCTTCCTGTGGATGCAGTGGAACAAAGCATCGCAGGCAGTTAGTACATACCATGGCCTTGGACCTAGTCAGAGGGAGCAAAGGCAGGCGGCGGGGAGGCAGGAGACGGGGAGAGAAGCAGGGACAGAAACTAGACTTACTTTAAACAGAAGCAACACGATTGAAACAGTTTTGTCTGTCTTAAATTAAGCCCAAATCATTCCCAGATTACGCGGGAAAGCAGCATAATCCCCCAGAGCCGAAAGCACTCTGTTTTGTATTCATGGCTCCTCAAAGTCAAGATTCCATGGGAACCGGGTTTCTAGTCGTTCCCTTTTCTGCCACAAGGTGGCGCCATCAGGTCCCCAAGCTGGGAGGAGCCCAATGGGACAGACCAATAGCCCCCTGGGCAAATGCACTGACTTGCCCCTGGCTAAGGATCAGTGGAGAAATGCAAGTGCAATCCAAAACAGCAGGCCTGTTTTACACCAAAACCTATCCAATAGAATTCTCTTCTTTTATCCCAAAGGCTAGCTGACCTACACTGTCTTGCTGATAAAAACCGCCATCTCTGGAAAAGTAGCTGGAGAAAGAGAGCAAAGGCCTCCACAAAGGTACCCATCTTATGCTGTCACTCACAAAAAAAAAAAAATGCTTTTTCACAAAAGTGAGGGGGAAAAAAACATTTATCAAGAGAACTCCTAGAGTTTTCTGCACTCGCCAGCTGCTGTTCTGCGGAGCAGGCGGTGTGGCAGGCTGGGGCAGCTCCCAGGGGTGTGCTCGGCTGGCCAAGAGGGTGTGAGCAGGCGCAGGAGACCTGCACAAGAAGCAGCGTTGGCGTCAGCAGTCCGAGAAAAGCGTGCAGGTGTAGGGGGGCCGAGAGTGAGAGGTGCTCTGGGAAGCATGGTGTGGTGAATACCAGATTTCTGCTTCGGGAGTCCCCACAGCCTCAACTGGGTCAAGAGTGGAACTCAGAAGTGTGTCTCACACTGTCAAATCAAACTGTCAAACGAAACGCAGACATCAGCATCCACTGTACCTTCTCTCCCTGGCATTTACCGTTCCTACCCTTTCATTTTCTCTGGAGTCTCAGGCACCAACATGTTTTGTTTTGGTTTTTTTTTTTGGGGGGGGGAGACATTAGGGGTGACAATGGGCAGTAAGGCTCTGCCTGTCAGTTATACAACAGTTACCTGGGGCCCCACCTCCAACATGCATGCACCGTTCCCACTACCGTCTGCATCGGCAGGAACCCTATCAGCCTCACATACTCCGGGTATGGAGAACACATAAATACCAGGGAGATTAATTTGTGATTATTTTTAATATGGAAAACATTGAAAACTGTTCCCAAGGACACACAGACACATGGGAGAACGACACGGAAGCCTTGCAAGCTGCCCCCACACAACCGTGCCCCGGGTCAGGCCCTCAGCGGGGTGAGGAGAGTGACGGGAGACACCCCTGCTTTCGGGGACCAGCCAAACCTCACAGGCCGGCCCTCCGGCCATCGGGACTTGGTACCGCCAGAGACCAGCTTTACTGATCTCCGTAGGTGCTGAATGGGACCATGTCACTCAGCAGCTCCTCAGCGCTAACCACCTGCAGAGTTGTGTAGGGAGCACGGGGCCAGACAGAGCCCTGCCAGCATGCTCCGAGTGACAACGGAACAAACGTGTGAGCACACGACGTTTACAGTCACCGAGGGAGTCACAGATGATAGCAGGCCGTTCATTCATAGAAACACCCAGTGAAAGCTCAGAAGTTTAAAATCTGACTGTGGAACGCCCTCAGCACATGGAGGAATGGGTTCTGCCGGAGGGGGTCTCGATGGCCTCATCCAGAGCAGAGCCTGTGCTGAAGCCCAGGGCAGGAGGCGGGGCCCGGGCCACCGCCAGCCATGTCTGATGTCCACGTGGCCCCGAGTCCTGTCCCAGGCCCTGGGCTCCGCTCAGCAAAGGCCCTTCCTCCAGGGACCAGGCAACTTAGTTACTAGGTTTTAATTCTAACAAATCACTCTTCCTAAGACTCTTCGTTATGTGTCAAGTGCGCCAATTTATAACGTTTTCCTGAATTTTCCCAGAAGCTGCCTAACTTCGGGGCATGTGGCAGGCTGCACTCCTTATCTCGTCCCCCATCAGGGAATCACTGGGCATGGGCTCCTGCTGTTGGCTCAGTCCAGCAGGTTCTTTTGTCATTCTCTCTCTCCTTCGTTCTCTCTCTCTCTCTCTCTCTCTCTCTCTCTCTCTCTCTCTCTCTTTCTCCCCTCTCCCCCACACCCATGTCTCCCTCTTTTCCCCATTCTCTTCTCTCTCACCTAAGCTCCTCCCCCTCACCCCAGCCCGTTTTTTCTTTTGTCTCCATTTCCGTTAAGTCCCAAGGGCCCTTCTTATGCTGATCCTCTACAGCTCACTGCTTCTACCTCTGTGACTTTCTAAATAAACTTTCTATTACATTTTTTGGGGGGAAAGATGGTTCTTTTCAAAGCGTGTGAGCCATCATTGTGTGACAACGCCGCCATTCTCAGGCTTTCTGCGAGCACGCTGCACTGCCAGGAAAACCACAACTCAAGAGGCCTTCCCAGATTTTGGCACAGAACACCCCAAAGCCCTGAAAGTGTCAAAAGATCCTGTTTGCAGGCTTTGTCCGGGGGATGGGAGAGGGGGAGCAAGCTTTCCAGCAGGGAGAGCCGAGGGAGGTGCAGGGACAATGGAGGGCTGCCAAGTGCAAGCAGCCTCCCCCAGGGATGGAGGAGGGACAGACCAGCGAGGCCCAGAAGGTGGTGGATACTCAGCAGCTGCATTTCATCTTCACCAGGGAGGGGTGTGCTTCTACCCCAACTTCTGTGGGATATTCCCAGGTTCCTAGACTGCAGTGCACCTGGGGAGTAAGCCACTGAGCTCCTTCCAGCTGGTCAGGAAGCACATCAAACCTTCCCAGGAGGGGAGGGGCCTGTCCTGTCTGAGGAGGATGGATGGGGGGTGGCCATCAGGAGCTGCCTGAGGTCAGGTGCTGGACCCCAAGGCTGTCAGGAGCGGCCTAGATGTTAACAGCTGGAGTGGCTGTTTCCCAGAAAGTCTGACTGTGAAGACACCCCAGCTGACTCTCTGGCTCTGGGGGGTGAGGAGGGGCCTGTGAGGGGTGTGGGCAGAGAGCCCAGGCCCAGACTCCGGCCAGGGAGCGGGTGCGGGGCTGCTCAGAGCTGGCTGCGTGGTGCCCCTTTGCCAAGGGCTCAGTCTGACAGCGTGGCTGGGGGTGCTGAACGCCCTTCTGGCTCAGTTTGGCCTGTCCTGCCCTTATTTCCTTTTCGCTGAACTTTCTCGCAAACTGGTTGTGTCTGTGGATTTCGGTAAACGGCCTGGAAAACGCGTTAGAAGAACGAAGGCCGGAAAAAATACGGCGATCATGTTCCTAACTTCTAGCCTTCTACCCTGAAAAACACCCATTTCTCCACCGGGTTCTGCGCTTTTAAAAACCACCAAAGACTGGTTTTTAAAAGTGGCATTTGTTTCACTTGGGCTGTTTCTTATCCTAAACCTCGAAGAACGATCCGCACCTCCAGTCACTATGTTGGAAGCCTGGGCCAGGCAGGGAGTAGCTTCCTGGTGCTGTAAAGCCCGCAGAGGGGACAGCAGCAGCCCAGCTCGGGCACTGCGCCCAGCCGGGCAGGAGCGCCCGGGCCGGGCCGGTCTCCCTGGGATCTGCACAATTCCCCGCGCCAAGCCCATCTCCAAGCCAGAGGAGGCCATGGAAGGCGCAGCTTCCATGGGGCGGGAAGCTCCTTAGCTATTCCCTTCGCAAGCGTCAGGGGTGGCGGGGCCAGGCCGGCCACGGCGCTGCCGGGCGGAGCCGGGCCTGCTTACCATGATCACGGAGACCCCGGTGGTGGTGCTGTTCTGCTTGGGGAGCGCGTTGTTGAAGTGCTGCTTTAGTTTACCTGTCACCTCAGCCTGCATGTTGTTCTCCTGGCAGGCGTCATCCTGCGGAGAGGAAAGGAACACAGCGGCGTGGATTCCTTAATGGCAGGCACACGCCACCCACCACCACCACCACCACCACCTCTCCCGAACGGGCCATTTTAGCCACAGGGTCAGGGGAGCCACGACCTGTGAACAATGACCCTGTTCCTCTGCAGCGCTGGGCCCTCAGGAAGACCGACACCTTTCACCGGCTCCTGAGGGCCTGGCGGGGTAAATTACCCCCCTTCCCCGCTCTGGGAGCCTCTGGAGCGAGGGGGTGCCGACTTCCCAGGGTCACTGTTCACGGGACCGTGTCTGAACTAAACCCACAGGCACCATGTACTTCCAAAGAACTCTAGTCAACAGGACACCCTCCGCCCTCCGCCCTCCGCCCGCCTGGCTCTGGAAGGGACTGTGCCTCACCCCCACATGCGTCGGGGCTCCTGTGGCCGTGGCCTTGAAGACAGAGGGACCAGGGTCTGAAATATGCTCATCTCTGGCCAAATCCCGAACACCCTCAGCCCGAAGAGCCACAGAAGGCAAAGCAGAAAGGCTCCTCAGAGGACATCCAAGCCGGCCCCTTCCTCCCGCAGCGCAGACAAAGCGACAGTGGCTTGCCGGGCCCACTCACAGAGCAGAACCGAATACTCAAGGTCCTGGGCCACCCGCCTAAGAGAAGCCCTCGATGGAGAGAACAGGCAGCTACCTGCTGTGGAAGTGGGGGTGTGAGAGCCGCGGCGAGGAAGCAGCCGTGGGCCCTGGGGTGCACAGTGGAGATTACTCCAGGGAATGAGGTACATACCGACACCCAGGGGTGGCTCAGGATTTGCCCCGCGGTACACCGCGCTTCCACGTTGACCTGAAGCATCTGGCTGATTAGTTCCTGGAAAGAAACGAGGAAGACAACAGAGGTGACAAAAGGGCGACCATTCCAGCACAAACTCAGAAATCTGAGTTTGCACCACGTACTTCAAGGAACAGCCAGCACAGCTGCTCAGCCACTTGAGCTGAAAAGCTATTGTTGCCTCCGCTCCCGGCGTCCACCAGGAGGGTCCGCAGGCACAGCCGCCTCTCACACTGGCCACCCAAGGGGAAAGGTCTCTCCTGAGCCCGCCTCACGCCCAGATGTTCCCTCCGAAGAGTTCTGGTCATTGCCACCCTCCCACAATGCAACACTGCGCTGCTATTCCTTTTGGCAACTCTGTCTTGGGAGTGCACCCACACATTCCAATAGTGCCTCGTGCGTATTTCTTGAATAAATGAACAAATGTTTAGGACTTAAAGGAGCAAAGGAGGATGGCAGACACCTGCTGGGAGGAGAGCCAGGCCAGCTTCCAGGACCTGGTTAACCGTGTCCAAGATGATACTATGGAATGAACTTCAGAAGAACCAAAGTTAAGAACAGACCTGGAGCTATTTTTTTTTTAAATATATTTTTTATTGATTTCAGAGAGGAAGGGAAAAAGAGATAGAAACATCAATGATGAGAATGAAGAGAGAGAAAAAGAAAAATCAATAATGAGAATGAAGAGAGAAATATGATGATGAGAATGAAGAGAGAGAGAGAAACATCAATGAAGATAATGAAGAGAGTGAGAGAGAAACATCATGATGAGAATGAAGAGAGAAAGAACATCAATGATGAGAATGAAGAGAGAAAGAACATCAATGATGAGAATGAAGAGGAGGGAGAAACATCTGAGAGGGAGATATGAATTGGCTGCCTCCTACAAGCCCCACGTGGGCTGAGGACCATTGGACATGTCGAGCCCACAGATAGCCTGGAGGGTACCTTTGCGGAGTCCGTGATGTTATCCCAGTAGGGGGCTGGGAACTCGAGCTTCCCAGCCAGGATCTGGTCGAAGAGGTCTTCCTGGAGGTTGTTCTCACTGTTGGCGACAAAGAAACAGAAGCAGAGCCAAAGTCACCACCGAGTTTCCAACAAAACACTCCGGGGAAGGGCGGGAGCGGAGCCCAGCCTCAGGCACGGGCATGTCCCATCTCCACTGACCTGTGGCCACACACTTTCCCTTTAGATGTGAACAGTGAGCTTGAGAACCCTTCCAATGGCTGGGGAATCAGAGAGAGAGAGAGAAGGAGGGGGGAGGAGAAAAGAGGGAGAGAGAGGAGAGCTCCACAAGGACTGAAGAAAGGTGTGGAGTGGGCACAGCTCAGCGTGGGGAGAGGAAGGAGGCCTGGGGATGGATGGTGGTGGTGGTGGTGGCACAAAACTCTGGAAATGTGCTTCATGCCACGGACCTATATACTTAAAACGGTTAAAATAATCCACTTTGCTATGTATATTTGCCACAATAAAAAAAGACAAGAAAGCCCTACCTGGTTTGGCTCAGTGGACAGAACATCAGCCATCGGACTGAAGGTTCCCAGGTTCGATTCCAGTGAAGGGATTGGTCCCCAGTGGGGGATGTGCAGGAGGCAGCCAATCAATGATTCTCTCTCATCCTTGGTGTTTCTGTCTCTCCCTCCCTTTCCCTTCCTCTCTGAAATCAGTGAAGATATATTTTTTTTAAAAAGACAAGAAAACATGGGCCCACGAATTATATAAATCTTCGTCCCAGGAACAAAAGCCACCTCGGCGTCTGCCTCACTTCATCGCTCAGGCAGTAGGAGTGGAAAATCAGTGATGCTGAGTCAGATCTCCTGCCCTTCCTCTTCCCCTTTCCCCACCAAACAGCCAGAGATGAACGAAGCGGCCACCACGGGAACAAATCACTCCGAGGTCAGAGTCGGGGTGGGACAGTCAGGACATCGTTGGCTCCCTGGGAGCCGGGCGTTCAGGTAAGCTCCGTGGGGAGAAGGAGCCCCTGGAGGACGTCAGTGGGAACTGCACAGGCTGAAAGGAGCTCTCCTCGCCGCCCGGTGGGCAGCGTCCTTACTGTCACTACCTGACGGTAAGGGTGCAGTGGCTGGTGCCTAATGAACACATGATGACTTGTGGCAGAAAGTGCCGGAAAAATGCAGCCATCTGACGCCCCCAGCTCCCCTGTTCCCCAGAACCTGCTTCTGCACAGCCACAGAGCCCTTCAGCTAATGGCCCATCCCTGGCCAGCGTGAGAACAACGTCCTTGCCTTTTAGGGTCATTATCAGACCCCAGCAGAAAACTCAGTCAAGATCACAACCCAGTGGAGCCCAGTCCCTCGGCAGGTGTACAGCGTTTCTCCTGGATTCCAGCACGACCCACAGCCGAGTGCGTGGGGTGCCCACAGGCTCGGCCCCCAGCCCTGCCAGAGCGGCAGGGAGTGAGGTGTCCTCAGAGACAGGCCGTAGGACAGCACCCAGAGCCAGAATCTGGGGTGGGGAGAGGACGGAGCTATTTCATTCTTGTTCTGTGAAAGAGAGTAGTGTCTTTGAGGTTTGCAAATATCCATGACATCTACCCAAGCCCAGTACAATGCACGGCTGCTGGCCACGGAGCCTGGGTCAGCAGACACCCTGAGAAGCCAACGTCAGCCTGAAAACCGGGCAAGGCAGATCCCCACTGCTCTCTTGAAAAACGGTTTTCTTTGCGTGTGGACAGACTTTCTATTTGTGTGTTGTTTTGTTGTTTGTATTTTTAGTTAAATATATATATATTTTTTATTGATTTCAGAGAGAAAGGGAGAGACAAAGAGAGACAGAGAGAGAGAGAAATATCAATGAGAAGAAAATCATTGATTGGCTGCTTTCTGCACGTCCCCCCCTGGGGATGGAGCTTGCAACCTGGGCATGTGCTCTTGACCAGAATTGAACCCAGGATGATGCTCTATCCACTGAGCCAAACTGGCTATGAAATGTATTGTTGTTTTTTAAGGTTATTTATTTATTTATTTATTGAGCTTTAGAGAGAAAGGAAGAGATGGGGAGAGAGAGAAAAAAAAACCCATCTATATGAGAGGGAGATATAAATTGGCTGGCTGCCTCCTACAAGCCCCCACTAGGGCTTGAACCTGTAACCCTGGGAATGAGTCCTTACCAGGAATCCAACCAGCAACCTTTCAGTGCAGGAGACGATGCCCAGTCAATTGAGCCACACCGGGCAGGGCAGTGTTTCTTTCTAGATGTCTAAACATTTTATTTCCTTTTCACTTATTTCCTTACTGGCTGCACTAGACTCAACTGTCTTTCAAAATAAGTGAAGGATGCACCTAAACCATAATGAGGTTCTACAAGAACCTTCAGAAACCAGGGGACCCCAGGAGATAGTAATAGAAGCTATAAAACAAGTCACCTCTTTCCAGAATCATCCCCTCCATCCCTTTCTCATCTCCTTTCTTTTTTTCCTGGAATCTCAAGTGACTTATATTCTGTTAATACATACAGCTTTTATTTTGTTAATAAATAGCTAAAACATTGGGAGTGAGTCTGTAGCATTCATTCCGGTTCTTGGAAAACAGAGCCTGAGTCAATAAACAGAACCGTGGATTGTCCTGGCAATTAGGACTCACCCTAAACATCCGTGCTGTGAACAGCCAACGGTTCAGGCTTCCTTCACTAAAAGAACAGAAAGCGAAAGATAATTCATCCTTCTTCGTAGTCACAGAAGAAAAGCCACCCTGAATGCACACTGGGTTTATTACCACATGTACACGCCACAACCTGGCTAAGATGCTTTGGGGCACTTATCCTAAAACAAGACAGCCCTGAATCAAAGCGCTCTACATCCGAAAACGTGCATAAGAAAAAACTCAAAAACAACTCTTTTCAGGGATGAGTCAAGGTGACGTCAAGGTCAGGTTAGGTAACCTGAGGATGTGGGTGAGCTCTTCTACACGTGAAGTCCGAACATTTCATTTATGGACTGTGTCTGTTTTTAAGAGAAACAAAACAGAAAAAGTCTCCGTCTAGTCATGCAAATACTACCTTCTGTCAGTGGCCCAAAAAACACTTGCTTAGGCAATAACTGTTGATTGCCTCTAGAAAACCAGTATCCTGGGGTTGAGGAGATGGAAGGAAGAATTCATGCCAACCTAAGACCAAACAAAGCCTGGGAAAAGAAAAGGGAGAGACCCTGGAGCTAAAGAAACGGAAACTGTGAACCACACGTGACAATTTCAATGAAAAGGCTTCGGGTTAACATGACCCTGGGGGTAAAACAAAGACAACGTTTGAAAGATCTGTGCCAAGGACTTCCGTTTTAGGTGCACATTTATGCAGACCATCTATTTTGCACCAGGGCCCTTTATCATGATTTCCAGGGTCACGTCCATACTGTGCTCCCGAGCAGTTTGAATGAAGTCGGCCCTGGAATCTCTCCGGAAGGCCTCTGTGCTGCGAAGATGCTTCTGTAACAAGCACTTAACCTTCCAGAGTCCCTTTCACCGCAGCATAGGAAAGACAGGAAGCATTTTCGTAAACTTCCCAAGTCAGCTACCTGGAGTTGTGGGCCCGGCTTCTGAGTATAATGTTTAAGGGCAGTAGCTTTACGGCCTTTGATTAGCCAGGCTTAACTCCAAATCCTACAAAGAAGCTACTGTCCACTGGGTATCAAGTCACAAGAAGCACATACTTGTTTAATGTGAGCCTCACCTTTGTTAAAAACTAAAAAAAAGCAAAGTCCAAGGAAAAAACTCCCAGGCTGCACTGACAAGTGGAAACACTAGAGGGAGTTGTGAGCACACATTCCTCTAACACTGATCCCTCCCTGATACCCTTTTCCCATTGGTCTCCACTTGGGTCAACCATCACGGAGGGGAGTTCCGCTGTAACTGGCCCCAGGATCACCATCTACCATAACACACTACCCTCCACGCTTCACCAGTTCCCAAAACAGGTCATCTCATGGCAGAAACCAGCCAGGGCACCGCGTGATTGAAAAAATGGCCACAAATGAGTCCCCTCCCTCTAAGCATGGGTCCTTAATCTTCTCCCACACTTGCTCTAGGCTTGGCTGTTAAACTTCAGTTGGCCAATAGGACACAGCAAATGTGAGGCAAGCGGGGGCTTGAAAAATGCTCAGACAGAGGCACTTGCCCTCTCCTAGCTGCTTTGGAAAATCCTGAATCCACCGAATGGGAAACCCAGGCTAGCCCACTGGAGGCTGAAGGGCACACAACCAGGTCATATCTGTTATCCCAGCTCCGTGGTTGGCAAACTGAGGCTCTCAAGCCACATGCGGCTCTTTGGCCCTCGGAGTGTGGCTCTTCCACAAACTACCGCGGCCTGGGCAAGTCTATTTTGAAGAAGTGGCGTTAGAAGAAGTTTAAGTTTTAAAATTTTGGCACTCAAAAGTAAATTCGATCGTTGTACTGTTGACATTTGGCTGTGTTGACTAATGAGTTTGCCAACCACTGTCCCAGCTGATGCTGAGTCAACTAGCAAGCATGTGAGTGAGGTCACACTGGACCATCAAACTGCCACTGAGCCAACCCAGGCCAGACCAGAAGATCCACAGAACCAATGGACAGCCCTAACTATTGCAATCATTTGTTATTCAGAAAAATGTTAAGTGATAGGTGCAATAATCCTACAATCCCAGTCCGAGCAACCCACCTGGGCAACGTCCTTAATGGAAGACATGGCCAGACAGAAAGCTTCCCACCTGGAGAAACCCAGCCCATGCCACGAGGACAAGGTCCCACTCACTTGTGCGCCTTTCCCTAATGTTCGTGATTCCCAGCCCTCAGTCAGCATACCCCCAAGTTCTGTTTACTTTTCTTGATCCATATTTCTGTGATGTGTGTCTTGACCCCTAAGACTCTCAAAAGGAGGCGCTGACAGCTCTGTGCCACTCCCGTGCTCACGGTAGTGTCCGTAAAAACGGTCAACTCAGCTGAACGTCGATCATTTCAAAAAGATAAAACTTTCAACTTTTCTGACTCTTTGAAATCCTTCGTAATAATACAATAGTTGGGTGACGAAACAAGCTTGTTTTTCACATACGGACCAAACACCACACGGTCAATACCAGGACCTCAGAGGATATGTTGTGTTCGCCATTTGATCCCTGACATTTAGAACAGCTCGTAGCACACAGCAGCTACCCCACAAGCAGTTGTAGAGTGAGCAAAAGAGGAGATTAAAACGAAAGAGCGCTCGAGAAAACCCAGAAGAACATCGAATGTGCGTCAATTGGTAAGCTTCTGCTTCAAAGTCACTCCAGAGGAGGAGAAGGAACTGATCAAAAGTGAGGGCCAAGCCGCATGTCAAACCTGTGCACACTCACTGCTGCGTAACAAGCATGCCGGGCCTCCGTGACACACAGTGACCCGCGTGTGCCCCCTCTGCTCCAGGGGCATGGCTACCAAGGACTCAGTCCCTTTGTCCCCGGGCCTATTTTTGCTGAAAGTGTTTGTAATTCTACTCCCCTGAGCATTATGTAAGTGGATAAAATGGATGTTCTAAGTTCCCTGTTTCGATGAGAACTGGGCTGAATGCTTTGGAAAATGAGAGGTCAAAAAACTGTTCCCAAATTAAACAGGAGGGACAACTAGTAAAAACTGGAAAAGGTTTTCCTAGAAGGATCTGATTGCTTCGCAGGATCTTTAAATCTCACTCCCCTTGAAAATAACTGAGAACGGAAACTGCAGACACTGGACGATGGGTGTGGTTTACAGAAGAATGACCACAAGAAGCTCATACACAGCAAAGGCCCGGCCTCACGTCAGAGGTGCGGTCAAGGGATGCACATGAACAGCTTGTAGAGTAAGATAAAAAGTGAAAGGTGATCTCTGTAAGTTTTAGCTGGCATTGTCACTGAACTACTCTGCTTCCTGATCCAGGGAGAGGGTTTACAATTCAAACGTTGTACTGACCTTCGGAATGGCGGGAATCCACAGAGAAGTATGTACGTGATCACGCCTGCTGCCCAAATGTCCACCTTCAGGCCATAGCTAGGGAAACAAAGTGGGTGGAAGGAGGAGAAAAAGCGATATTAACCCCAGAATCCTCCACATCACCCGAATACTTTCCTTTGTAGAAAAAAAAAAGGGAGGGGGGTGGGAGCTTTTCAGTATCGAACTGTCCATTGGGCAAAAGCATCTGCTCTTCTGCTGGTCCTAATTACAACCTTGGGGACACTGCCATGTTCCCAAGACCAGCCTGGGGACCAAAGTCCCGGCCCAGGCCCAGGGCTCTTGAACGTAGAAGCCCAGACTTAAGTTCCCAAGATCAGAGTCATGGTGCAGGTAAGCCGTCTCTCCCTCCCTCCATCTTCTCGGAGAAGACATAGGAGGATGCCCATAATATACCTTTCCCACCAAAGAAGGGCACTAACCCAAACCACCAGGGTCTCACCCGGTTTCAGCAATGATCTCTGGAGCCACGTAGGTTGGTGTGCCACAGACGGTGTACAAGGGCCCTTCCACCACGGTGGCCAGCCCGAAGTCGCCCAGTTTCAGAGACTTGGTTCCGTCGGGATACTCGCACACCTGGAACAGAAACCAGCCGACTGTCACACGTTGTTTTTTTTTCATCTCAATGATTCCAAGAGGGGCCTTGGAATGAGGTAGAAATGGCACAGACATACTGACCAACAAACTCAAAAGAAATCTCTGCTTGTGATAGTAACACTATGATTTATCTTTGATGCTTTGAAGCCCCGAATGTTGCTCCGGAGAGATTTTTGCATGATTGCGTGGAATTTGAAAAAGACATTTCTTACCTCTGAAAAAAAAAGGGGGGGCCTTACCTAGGAGTTTACTGAACACGTGCGCATGCTCACACAGCAGTGAGGGATGCTCACCTGATGTGGCTGGAGAGGCCTCCCAGCCTGGAAGCGGGCCCAGGCCTCACTGCATGCTTCTCAGAGGGAGGCGCTCAAGAGCCTCGGAAAAGTGTTTATTAAGTGCCACTAAAGCACTAGGTGTTCTCTAAGAGACTTGCATGTTTCCTTTAGAAAATAAAATTAGGACTTGTTCTCTGCAGAATCGATGGTAAATATAAACATTGCATGGGGGGAGCTTTGGAAGTGTAGACAGAAAATGAACATTGGGATCAGACAGCTTGAACGTGAATAACCAAGCACTCCCCTCATTTTCTGGCTGTGTGACCTCTGAGAGTCACTCACCCTCTCTGAGCACATTCCCTCTTCTGCGAAATGGGATGATATGGGGTTGGTGTGAAGATACAATGAGAGCAAGCTTGGATCAGGGCTCTGTGAACATTCCTTCCCTCGCCTGGAAGGTCTGGCTGGCTCAAGCAGATAACCATGATATTGGAAAAGGTCTAACAATGTTGCTGAGATGTCAATGTTTTTGCTTAAATTGAAGCAACTTTTCTAGACAGCATTTCAGCAACGTGTATATTTCTTAACATCATTTATAACGTTGGATCCAGTAAACCTACTTCTAAGAACCAACCCTGAGGGAACAGAGATGGACCCTGAGGTTATATACCAAGCATCAATCTCAGACTTATCTTAAAAAAAAAGTGGAAGCAATTTAAGTCATGGTACATCCCTGCAATAAAATATGCTGTCACTAATAAGCACATTTCAAAAAGCATTAATCCTATGGACACACTCACTATATTACATAACATAAAAAGGAATATTCAACATTTTATATATGTGTGTGTTATAACACACCAAATTGTTTAGGGTGTCTCTAGGTGTTAACATTGAGGATTACTTGAACTTCCTCCTTTTTACTTTTCAATAGTTTCCAAATGAACATGCATTGGTGCCATGATTAGGAAAAATTTTATATGCAGGCAGATTTCCCTTATGGGACCAAAGTCTGGAAGTTCATCCTAAATGAATGGATCTGGAAGCAATCCAGTGTGTTTGAGAACACAGTATAGGTCTGACTCTAACCTTTAATGTGCTCTCCATCTGTCTCTTGGATGTCCATTCTGAAAAGCCTGAGTTTCAGAGACTATCTGCAAAGACCTAATTTGGACTTGTGTGACATCTTCTCTATGTTCCTACTTTATCGTTCGCTTTCCCTCATATTTTACTCTCAGCTGCCCAGGTTTTCACCCAGATTGCTACTTAGGAGAGGAGGTAAAACATTTAGAAAATTATGTTTTCTCAAGATAAGCATGTTAACAACATCATCCATTAGTCTGATACTTAAAGAGGCGACTTGATTTATACAGCCCTCAATAAAACACATTGAGGGCGCCCCCATCTCAATGACCCCCACATCTTTACAGGCATTTCATAAAGGGTAACCCCGAAATGCCGTCTTTCCGTGGGATGTCCTCCTGGGTTTGAGAAGACAGTTTTTCACCCGGTTTGAACACCCGCCTCCACATCGGTGTCCTACACGCACACCCAGCACACAAGTGCAGGACGGTCATGTTTCACAGGGGCAGCCGTGAGGCCCGGAGCCCCTCACAGACATCCATCATCCCAGTCACCCCGACTCAGCAGGACCGTAGTCAAAGCTCCTAATGGTTAGCCTGAAGCAACAGAACCCAGGCTCGGCCCTGCTGCCGTCCTCGGCCGCCGCTCCATCCATTATGCCTAACGTAAACACGCGTGAGAACACGCGGGTGGAGGAAATTACTGCCAGAATTTATGACGCATTTACCAGAACTCAGACGTCAGGAAGAAATTCCCGAAGTAATGGCAGCGATAAGAACATTATGAGCAGCATTATGATTCCAAGTGCATCATGAGAGTTTAAAAAAAAAAAAAAAAGACACCCCACAGTTTCATTAATGTCCTTGGTTATTTTGTTTTCATAACTTTAAAATACACTCATTAGGTACCTTTTTTGAAAAATAGTGTTTATTTTAGACATTCAATTTAGGGATGCCTAGGGGTCCGCAAGGGCTGTGGTCAGACCCTCAGGAGTCCCAGAAGCCCCGTTTGTCACAGCCCCTGTGAGCTCCCAGCCAGTCAAGAGGCGGGAGCAGGAATAGGAAGGGGCTGAACAGTCCACAACCGCCGAGTTATGTCTGAGCGAGTGATGCTTCCTGGCCAAGCATCAAAAGGGAAGCGTCATCAGGGGCAGACGAGCCTGAAATAATAATATTTAATCTGAGTCATCTCTCCCCAGGGCTAGACACAGAGGCAAATGTGTGAAGGACAATGTGAGCCCATTTCAAATCTCTGCTGGAGACTCTCCACAGACAGGGAACATCTATCTACCATCGGTCTATATGCACACGCACAAGCACACACACACACACACACACACACACGTCACTGCTTTCAGAGGCTGATTCGTGCACACACCACGGGCGCTGCATTACCAGTGTGAGCTGGAGGAGGAGGCCAGTGCCCGGCCTCCAGGCCTTCTGTCTGGCAGGGCTCAGCCCTCCCCGATCACCCGCATTCTCGCAGGACTCCAGAGATTCCTAGATTCTCCCCGGACTGCTGTCACCACCCCGCAGGGCCATTAGGAAGAGAACTGTTGCCAGCATGGCCTCCATGCCTATCCATCCATGCACAACCCTTCCAGATGAGGAAACTGAGGCACAGAGAGCTCTCGTGAGCAGTGGGTAGACCCGTGCACATGATCCAACCAATACCACTGCCGTCCCGGGACCCTCTGCTCTCTCTGAGGAGCCGCAGGCCTGGCAGAGGCCCCCCACACGCAGGGACCCGGTGCACTCAGACAGGCCCGCTGTGCCCCGCCACGGGCTGCGACGCCTGTGAGAAGCAGCTCTCGGAATGCAAACATGGAAAACGTGAGGAATGCAGATCCCACAGACGCGGCGAACGCCGCATGCTCTCCAAATAAAACGTCAGCGGGGTGATTTAGAAGGGCTTCCAACGTGAGAACCCGGCCCCCTGCTCTCCGGTCCCCGGGACTCCCGGGGAGCGGGATTTATCACGGCCTCACCGTTACCTCTGACAGGCCCCGCGGCCGTAACTCACCGGCGAGGCCACCCCGCGCTCCCTGACATGACCGCGCCCGAAGGCAGATTTAAATTACGGCACGGGCACCGCTGCCAGAGCGGGGGACGCACAACAGATGCCTGCCCTGGCGCTTAGCAAACCTGGGCAGGAGGAGGCTGGCAGTCACTGTGTGTGCTTTCAGCGCCACCGGCATGTCTCACCCGAGGCCGGTGCCCACCTGCAGCGGAATCCAGACTCTGCTGAGTGGTCTGGCCGGGATCTCGAAGGCAGGCACGTGTGTCCTTAGACACGCACAGCCAGGGGTGTCCGGAGCTCGGCCCCGACGGCCTTACTTCCCAACTCACACATGGGCTTCTTCCAGACATCGGTGTGGTCACCTTTTTCTCTCTCCTCCCTCCTGGGTCACACAAGGGGCCGGGCTACACAGACGAGGAGCTCGATCCCGATGTCCCAGTGACGTTCTGGGGCACCTTGTCTAAGACGTCACGCCCTGTTACAGCATCTTCCCCTGATGCAAGACACTCTTTCTGATCCCGAGACTGTGCATGCATTAAAAATTGTGAGCGGGACAGAGTAGAAAGGAGAGGCGAGCGTGGACTCGGGGAGCTGGGAAATGGACACGCAGGTCCACAGGAAGGTCAGTAACGGCTCGGGCAGCCTCCTGCGGGGCCCAGAGCTGCGGTTGGGGCTGCTCCACAGCAGCCAATGGTTCGGGGGGACCTGTGGCTCCTTGGACCACAGGGAACGTCGTAAGTGCAGCCCTGGAGTGAAGGGGCACGGATGGCCGGGAGAGATCCAGGGGGTGGCCTTACTCACACCACAGCATCTGGGTCTGGCCATACCGAGGACAGTCTTGTCACCTCGCCGGCAAAGCCCTTAGGCAAACCCGGCCAGACGGCGGGGGAGCCTGGGCCTGCCAGCCCCACAAGGCCGCCGTGGGCGAGACACCTGTGTGGAGGAGAGCACATCATGCCCTCGCCGCCACCCAGAGGCCCAGGTACAATGCGGTCTCCACGCCTCCAAGTTCCTAAGACTGAATCCACACTACACCTGATTTCACAATTTTTCTTTCCCTAACAGGGACATATAGAAATAAAACAGAGTGCCCTCCTGGCAGAAATCAGTCAGAAAAAAGTCACACACTTTCAAACGGACGTTCAGAAGTCATCACACGGTGTTACCCAAAGGGGAAACACACTGTGGATGGGCAGGCAGCCCCCAGCATGGCCTCCATGCCCGTCCATCCATGCACAACCCTCCCAACGACTATCTGCGTGGGGTGCAAGCACGACTCGGGCTGTAAAGATGGGTGCCCCAGCAGCCAGCAGCTAGCTAGCCGAGTGACCGCCAGCCAATCTCCAAACATTTCCTGCACATCCACTGTTCAAGGCCCGGGGACGCTAGGGTAACTGAGACACAAACCTTGGCCCCACTGGTGCTTACGATCTAGAATAGGAGACAGACAAGCAGAGGATAACATCGGCGCACCATGGCTGGTGCAACAAAAACCAGAGGTGGCTCTGCTCAGGATTGAGGCCAAAGAAGTTATACCTTTGGCTCAGTCTCACAAGATCGGGGTGTCTGTCACACTGTTGGGAGACAGGGCAGCGCAGAGACCAGTACGGACGTAAGCAGATGAGGCATAATGCTGTTGATAAAGTCAGTTTTAACTAACTACAGGGTATGGGAAGCCTTCGTTGAGATTAACATGATCTAGAACACTCAGGTAACTTCACCTCCCACATAGTGATGATGATGACAGCTCAGCCCAGAAAGATAGAACTAGATAAACAACCAACTGCCTTGTGTACGTTTGTGTGCATGTGATGTGTATGTGTGCATGTGATATGTGTGTGTGTGTGTGTGTGTGCATGCACAACTCTCCAATCAGCTTCTTTCAAATTCCTCTACAACACAGACGCAAGGATGAGCCCCATCGCAAGCTTTGCTTAGCCAAGCCGTCAGGAAGGTGTGTTAAAGGTGGCTCAAAGGTTACTGCCACCTGGTGGGATGGGTGGGGAAGGGCTGCAAAGGTAAATTGGGACCAGATTAAGCAGCACCTTGAACCCAGCCAGGTGTGGCTCAATGGTCAGACATAGACCTTTGAACCAGGAGGTCACAGTTCAATTCCCAGTTAGGGTACATGCCGGGATTGTGGGCTCAATTGCCAATAGGGGGCATGCAGGAGACAGCCGATCAATGATTTCGCTCTCATCACTGATGTTTCTCTCTTTCTCTCCATCTCTGACATCAATAATATATATATATATATATATATATATATATATATATATATATATATATAAAAGCACCCTCAGTGCCACAAAACACAGGTCTTCTGTGGAACAATGGGGCAAATGAAAAATTTAACAAGAAAAATTAGCATCTCTGGGTCTCAATTTCTGTATCTGTGAAGCTGAGATAAATGGACTTGATGTCCAAAGTTCTGTCCAGCTCATAAAAGAACCCTCAGGTTCCTATTCTGTCTCCCATTTATTCTTCAGACTCTTTTGCCTCAAATGAATTTCACTTTTCTTCAGTCAGGACTGTCAACAAAACGGAAGTGAAAGCACATTTTCTAACGTCTGGTAAATAATACATGCAGAAATGCAATTTAGTTGAGGAACGTCAATAATATTTGGCAGTGACTGACTTGCATCAGACTGGTTTTCGAGATTTAAACTCTCTCAGTCCCTTGTTGCAGGACTGGTCAGACTCTCCAATGTCACTGTTTGCATGGGATTACAGACCTTTTAAAGGAAGAGAGGCATGAGGAGGGACAGAAAAAGCAGAGGTGCATACCAAGAGGTTCTCCGGCTTGATGTCCCTGTGCACAATGCTGAGGCTGTGCAGGTACCTGAGGGCGTTGGCCAGGTTGTACACCATAGCACTGCCATCCCGCTCGGTGTACTTGGTTGAAGAGGTAATTGCATCAAAGAGGTCTCCACCCTGAAGGACACGAAAGAACACATCAAAATATCCACAGTGGCAATCCCTTGAAGGTAACAAAGAAGGCCATGGGCCTGGAGTCGATTTTTTTAAATGCTACTAAAGTGGATGATTGTGAATAAAGCTTCAAGGTAGCAAAACACGTTTCTGATTAGGTCCTTGAAGAATACGGTTTTAGGTCTCGGGATTTGGCGCCAGGGAAACCTCGTGAGGGCTCGCCCGCCCTTACCTTGACCAGTTCCATCACCAGGAAGAGCTCGGTGGCCGTTTCCATCTCCTCCACCAGCATGATGATGTTGGGGTGTTTCACTTGGCGCAGGATGGACACTTCATTCTCGATCAGGTGCTCCTGTCAGACAGAGGGGGGCGAGGTATGGGATCCCTGCCCGGTCTGTACCCCGGAGAACATCCGTCTATAGGGCTGGTGCTCAGGGAAGCAGCTCCCTCAGTGCAGACACCCAGCCCTGGCCTCGCTGGTTCCCACAAGGACAGGTCAGGGTGACATCGCAGAGTCACTAACAAAAAGAGCAGGCACCCTTCAAAACAGCCCTCCGCAGGGCTCAGGGGGGCCGCCCTGGCACACACAACAGACGGCCTTCCCGTCTCTTCCCGGCCTCTGACACCTCAGGGGGCTGTGCGCTATGAACGTGCAGGCACAGGGCACTACTGTGCTCACTCTTCAGCTGGAGCCACTTTTAGTCCCCGTTTCCTCGGAAACGACTCGGCATAAAAGGAAACGGCATGCTTGTGGCACAGGACGTGGGCATTAACATTTCGTTCACCAGAGGGTGTTCCTGCTGACCTTGTATTTCAGAAGTCAGGAAGCATACGTGCTCATGGGGACCGTGATTCTGACTTTAGCCCTCCTCACTTCTCTGAAAAGACCACCCGATCGTCAGTCCTGGTGAGTCATGCATTGCATCTGCACTGCAGCACCACTTTGCTCAGGGCATGAAGGGGTTATTCTCCACACACAACTAGGAGTCATGAAACCCCTCAACGTCACACCCGAGGGTCCGCATGAACGGCAATAATGAATTATTTTAAATTTGGGGTACACTCTGTAAAATTAACCAGCTGCCCTCTGACACATTCTATAGACAGCATTTGCTACCTAAACACACACATACATGTATGTATGTGTGTGTGTGTGTGTGTGTGTGTGTGTCCCTTACACTGTCCCTTGTGCCTCTGCTATCATGGATTCCAGAACTAAATTTAGTGTTCCACTCAGTGGGAACCGTTATCTCTAGTTCAGGATAGTGTTTATGGTTCTTCTCTTATCTTCATGCATCCCTGTGAACGTGTGTTTTCACCGTAAGCCATCTCAAATGCTTTTCTGACAACAGTTGGAAGTATAAATGATAATAAGTAACACTCAGGGAAAATCGGTTGTAAGCACCTGCATAGGGCGGGCTGTGTTTCTTGAGCGTGGAATGCCCTATGCTTGTCCAGGTCAGCACCGGCCAATGACGGTGAAAATGCTCACCGGAGAGAAAAGAACCGCTGCTGACCAGGAATCCGGTCGCTGTCTGTTCATCGCGGTGCAGGGTGCCTGTGCACCATCCTCTCCCTTCGCCCTTTAGGACAGCGCTGAGGCAGCGTGCAAAGCCCAGGCTCCGGACACCCACGCCCACACTTCCTGTGCTCCACATCACCTTTCCAAGGAGGGTGCTTTGGCAAACGTCAGGTTGGAATTTTTAAAAAGGAAATGATAGCTGCACAGCTGTACACATTTAATTTCTCGAAAAGACAGGAACGAGAGATTGCATGATAATGAACTGGGCAGCCAGGCGGACCCATGCCAGCCTTGGAGCAGGAAGGAAAACCTTTGCCCTTATCAAGCAGGGCTGGGAGCAGAGTGAGCTGTGCTTTCCTGAACACAAAGGGGAGAGAATGAATCCATTCCATGCTCTGTGAAGCCAGAGCTGCAGCTACCCCTGCAGTAAAAGGGGCATTAAAAAAAAATGCTAAATGGATATATCCCCTCAGTTCTACCTCCTTCCCATTTCCACCCAAGTTGGAAGAGCCTGCAAAGTGACCTCTGTTTGTGATGCTAATTTAGAGCCATGCATGTAAAAATGACCCCCATCACCAGGACCCAGGAGCTCCCTCAAATGGGAGCTGAAATAAGATGTCTGCCACCTCAGGAGACTGCGCTTCCCCAACGTTGTCTTTTCCCATGAAAGGCGCGACAGAAAGGCTCTGGACCACCACGGAGGCCTTTTCCCCGGACGGCCGGCAGTGCTGCATTTCACACAAAGCAGGGATACTTTCTCGGCCACGTTTGTTATCTCAGGTCGCTGTGTCCTCCTTGGCCGCGGGCTGGTATTCTAAGCACAGAGCTAAAGCTGCTGTTGGGATGTGGGGGCTGGCAGCCTTTGTTCCCAGCCTCTGACTGCGCCCGTGTGGTTGTCTGCGAACCCACTTTTAAGCGAAATCACCGTCAGTAGCAAAGCAAAAAGCAATGCATGAGAATCTCTACAAATGTTATCTCCTCATTTCCCATGCAGCCCATAACTCATCTTCGCTTCTAACACCTAAAAATACCCTCTAGATTTCATTTTCCAGGAAAAGATTTCTAAACACAATAGGAATCACCACTTTTGCCTTGAACTGCACTGAACTAAACAGGGTTTGACCATCTACCATTATTTATGCTAAGTGATTCATGGTCCCGATGCTGAATAATTTACATATGAATCATTTCCTGGCAGTGTGCCCTGGCTCTGGGTGAGTAAATGACAAGGAAACTGCTAACTTGGCAAAGGAGACTGCCTTATCTCTGGCTGTGGTGGTTTTGAATGTACAAAAGGGACAGAGATAGAGACAGATAGAGAGACAAAAGGAGGAGGAGGAGCAGGAGGGAAGGAGGGAGAGAGGGAGGGAGGGAGGGAGGGAGGGAGGGAGGGAGGGAGGGAGGGAGGGAGGGAGGGAGGGAGGGAGGGAGATTAGGAAATAAACAACTCTCCCAAACCAAACTAATCATCCTGTCTCCACACTTCCCAGCCCATAAAACACACACAGTCCTTTCCTCCCGGTGCCCTGCCTCATTGAAGGAACCTGGCAGCCCACAGCAGACAGGAATCCTGCCCTCTTCTCCCCCAAACCCTCTCCCCCTCCCCCTCCAGTACAGCTCCTGCATCACCAGGTCTACCTTCTCAATGGCCAATGGATCCGTCCACTCACTTCCATCCCCAGTGCCCTCTCTCACCGAGACCTCTAGGCATTTGCACAGGTACTTTCTCTGTCTGGAACCACATCTTAGTGAACTCCTGTTTATTCCTCAAGACCAGCTTAGATCTCACCTCTACACAGCGCCCCCTGCTGGGTGAAGGACGCCCCTTAGGGCCCTCTGTGCTGGTTCCTGGCACAGCTGCTATTGGCTGACCTGGAGGCTGTTTTTTTTTTGTTTGTTTGTTTGTTTTTAATATATTTTATTGATTTTTTACAGAGAGGAAGAGAGAGGGATAGAGAGTTAGAAACATCGATGAGAGAGAATCATCGATCAGCTGCTGCCCGCAACCAAGATACATGCTCTTGACTGGAATCGAACCTGGGACCTTTCAGCCAAACCAGTTTCAGCTGGAGGTTGTTGTTTATCTTGCTCTCCAGTAACCAGCCCAGTGAGTCCTGAAGTGCTGGAGTGAGTGAGGAAACACATTGCGCTTGGCTCTCGAGGGGCACTGGCTTCACAGCTGGTATCGCTGTGCCCTCTGAGTATCACTGAGGGGGATGCAGTCAGAGAGAATGATGTTTTAATCACCGTCTGTAATTTCTATGGTGGAGCTATGTAGTAGACTGGATAATGGTCACCCAAAGAGAACAAGTCCCTGGAACTCGTAAATGGTGCCTATTTGGGGGGGTGTGGGGGGGAGAGACAAGGGCTCACAGATGTGATTACAGTTTCTGCAAGAGATCGCTCTCGGTTAGCTGGGTGCCCTCACAGCTGGCCTTAGGAGATAAGAGGCAGGGGGAAGTTTCCCACCCAGAGGAGGAAAATGAACACACAGGAGAGAGAGTGAGGTGAGGATGGAGGCCAAGGTGGGAATGATGTGGCCAGAAGCCAAGGACCACCATCCGCCACCAGGAGCCATTCAGTCAAAGGCGAGGAGCAGGCTCTCCCCAGGGCCTCCCGAGCTGTGAGAGAATAAATTTCTGTTGTGGTAAGCCACCGAGTTTGTGGTAATTTATTCCAACGTCCTTAGGAAACGACTACAACTTTCATTTGGATTTATGTCCTGTCTGGGCTCCTAACACGTGGATAATGAATGCAAGGCTGTGGGAAGAGGAGGAAGGACCACTTCTGAGTACCATAACAGAAAGCTCCAAGCTTCAGACACTGTGGGAACTCAATAAATATTCATTTAGAGTGAATATTATTTAGCATATTAGACATGGAAGAATTCTGAAATTTACAAACACCACAGCCTTCTCAACAGCCTCCATAAATGTGGCCCTGAAGCTGATCTTGCAATACTCTCCTGCTCAGGAGGTCTGAGCATGTTCTCTCTGCCTGGGCCTTCGCTCAGGCTGTGGCCCCAGGCAGGAGTTCCTCCCATTACTTCCTGCTGAAAGCCTGCCCAGCGCAAATACTTTTTGCCCTATGGTGTCTTCTCTGATCGTTTCTCTCTCAGATGCTTCCCCACAAACTCTCCAGTTTGCAGAACTGGTATTCATTTATACGCTAACATACCCTACTGGTAGCACAGTACCTTGCACATGTCAAAGTTTAGGTAAACTTACCTAGTAATGCTCACGTATATTGCAGACAAGCAAACTGAAGAGCAGAGAGGTTAAGAATGTTTCCCCTGGGCTCTTATTACACGAACAATGGAATAAATATAACTCGGAGAGGGAGCATGATAGATTGGCCAACGTATAGGCTGAGTAACCAACTCGCCCAAAATTCCTACCCCTGCTCGGCCTCTGCTACCTAACCTGAAACTCTGTCGCCTTTTATGTGAAACTGGAGCATCTGCCAGCATCATTAAAGCAGGAAGGCCAACTTGTTTGTTTGAAAGGAGGGTCAAGTCTCAGACTTCTCACACCTTTTGTGTGTGTTTCTGCGTTTTATTCTGAAATATGCATCTCCTAGAGGAAATATTAAAATGTAACATTTTCATCTGTATTGTTGACCGTATTACATATGTCCCCCTTTACCTCCATTGGCCACTTCTAATAATATTTTTTTTTATAGTGAGGACCAAGATCAAAACAATGTACTGTTTTAGGATTAAGGTTTCTGAAAAATGGCAGGGGGGGAGGGGGGGAAGCAAAAGCTTTCTAGTGTTTCCTGCACTAGTTTCACAGGTTTGTTCCTGTTATGGACTTGGCACATCCCCACTTCAATGCCCTCAGCACAAGAATCATCTTACCGAGGTTTCTCAGTTTCTTTAACAAAACAGTTAAGTATACCGTACCTTTCCACAACATTTGGCTTTGTCTATGATCTTCAGGGCAAACTCCTTTCCGGTGGCCCTGAGGAATAATCAGAGGAAAGCCTTTTAAAGCCGCAAGTCACAGATGAGCGAGCGCCATCCTCCCCATTTCCTCCACAGCACAGACCCCGGGAGGAAAGACTGCTTCCTCCGCTCCTCACAGACCCTGCGGCCTGGGGTCTGGGAGAAAGGTGCCCCCAAAGGAAAAGAAAAAAAAAAAACCTGAAGCCACACTGCCCATCTCCTTTTTTACACAGTATTATGAAATAATTTACATATTTAAAGTATTTAAATCCTGCTATATTCGACACGGACAAAACACTGATTTGTCCAATACTTAAATCTCAAGAGAGTTATCTTGAAAGGCAGAATAAAATTAGAAGAAAAATGATTCAAAGTAGCTGAAACCTTCCTATGCCAATATGTCTTCACATTAATCTATGAGTCCACCATTCCAACCTGAAAAGTCCCCAGACTTTCAATATCTATTTCTCAGCTCCTACTCCATCCGGGGCCGTCTCCAGCACACCTCTCAATGCCCGCTTCTGACACCAGACAGCTCATGTACATGTAGGCATGACTCCTGTTGTTATTTAACATTTAACCACCTTTCCCATCTTTTAATCTGAAGCTGCCCCAAAATACCTTTGCATATAGGAAAACAGTTCAACAACCAACGTTTCACCAGTTCTGTAATATAGCAGTTCCTGTCAGTGGTCACATTACCCACCGGTGAGGCCACCTTGGCAAAATAACTTTTATTTAAGTTGCTTCCCTGTCACATAAACCAAACCCTGCCTTGGATTTCTGAAGGGTCTTTAGAAGTCCTGTTTTCAGTTCTTCATTTGTTGCCGGGGTGGCACTCTGTGAAGCAGACAGAGCTAAGGAGAAAGCTGAGAGGATGGGCGGGCGGGGGGGAGGGGGGGGAGAGGGGATGTTTGGGGGGGCAGTGGGCACCACTACAAGGGGCTGCAGCAGAATGGACAAGCAGTGGTTGCCAGAGCTTCCTGGAAATTCCCCACAAAGAGTAAAAATTCTACTGGGAACAGGCAGGGAAGTGGCAGGCATATAAACAGAGGGACTAATCTGAGTCTTTTCCGGTTTTGATGTTGTTTTTGAAAGGCCTGCAATTTGAAAGAAGGCATTTCTTACCACTTGAGAATTCAGGACTTTGAAATAAAGCGGACACACAAAAATATAATTCTAATACAGGCAACAGCCAACACTGCTCTTCAGGGGAGTCAGAGCTCACGCAGCCCGAACTACTGGCATCTGCAGCTGAGAATTCGCTGAGGGGGTCACTGTGGGATTCAGTGAGTTACACCACTGAGAACCGTGCCTGGTATAGGTAAACGCAACACAGGATTTTTAAAGACTACATCTTATTCTTTCCCAGTGTTCTCTGGCTTGTGGATGAGACATGATATAGTGCTCAATCCAACATCAAAGCAGGTGTATGCTCTATCAGCCTACATGTTTTTCCCCTGACAAACTGCTTGTGGGCATGCAAAACAGCTGGTGCCAAAGTTAGGCTCTTTTATAAAAGCATGTATTCGCTCCGGTAAGAATAAACTCCAAGGAGACATGTACGTGTAGGTGGAAAAATGGTAATCCTCACCATCCACTCACCTGTCCATGCACTCTTTGACTACAGCAAAATTGCCATCACCAATAACCTTTCCAATTCTGTACTTCTCAAGAAGAGTCGAAGATTCAATGCATCTATTTCCATTCACGCCTATGAAAGAGGATAATGCAAACCTGAAACCAACATTTCATCTTGATTCCCATATACTTGTCAAACAATAAATTGCAATGCATTTATTTCTAAATCTATGGTAAAACTATAAGGAACGTCTCTGAGCATATTGTCTGAATAGAATACCTGAATCACCGGGATTGGAATCAGAAACCAATATAATCAATAAAGATAACAAATATCTGAAATACCAGCTAAAATAAGTGTAACAAAGTCATCTAACTAAAACTTCAAACTTCTTTGTCAACTTTGAGAAAGAAGAAGGGGATGATGCTGGGAGTTAGCCTTAGAAATTGTCACAAGATTTCTCCTCAAGATTTTCTAGTAAAGAAAACTCTAGCCAGTTAGGATGCCTGTTAAAGCTAGTAACCAGCTCAAAGAAAGACAAATACCATATGATCTCACTTATACGAGGACTTTAATGAACAAAATAAACTGACAAACAAAATAGAAACAGAGGTATGGATACAGTAACAGACTAACAGCTGTCATAGGGGAGGGGCTAGGGTGAGACTAGATGAAAGGACTACAAAAAAACCAAAACAAAAATCAAATCACCATATATAAATAACACATAGACACAGTCAACAGTGTGGAGAGGGACAGGGGGAGGAGGGTAGGTGGAGGTGGGCAAAGGGGCAGAAAATGGGGACAGAAAGAGACTTTGCTTGGGGAGATGGGTGCACGATGTGGTGTACAGATGATGTTTTACTGAGTTGTACACACTTGAAACCTGTATGGTTTTTTGAGCCAAAGTCACTCTAATAAATTCAATTTATATGTAACACTAGAGGCCTGATGCATGAAAATTCGTGCACGATAGGCCTTTCTTCCCCTCGCTGCCGGCACCGGCTTCCCTCTGGCACCCAGGATCCAGGCTTCCTCTCCAGCCACCTGGGACCTGGGCTGGCTTCCCTCCAGCCCCCACTTCATCAGGAAGAACATCTGGAATGATGTCCAGAATGATGTCCGGTCTAATTAGCATATTACCCTTTTATTATTGTAGATTACTATAGAAGATATTAAAGCTAATTCCTGGCTCAAAGTCTTCTCCAAAAGGTGATGATAGTGAGCGGTGGAGAACAGGACATTGCAAACATCACATTGTGAGCAGGTTGCCACTAAGGAAAAATAAAGTTCAAGTCTAAAATGTGAGATTGGACTAGCTTAATAACCCACGAAGACCAAGTGGGTGACATGACCACCTCCCTGCTTAGGAAGATAATGTGGGTTTGGGGTGACCACCACAGTCACATGGATGACTCTCTTTACACATGTAACCATCAGATTGAGCACTACCTTCGGGACTCAGGCAACGATCAAGCTCAGGCCCACCATTTATGTTGGAGGAAGATCTGCCATGTGCAGAAACCTGCTGAGAGAGGAGAGTGACCATTATTTATCAGGAAAACGTGACACATCTTCAGCTCGCTAGTCCTTAGTTAATGGAAAATGCTTATAGAATGTAAAATATAGGCACAGAGAAAGAGAGGAGGCACTGTCTTTCTCTTCCTCGCACTTCTCTCCCTATACTCATGACATTATGCATTTTATCCTCAGAGACAATATTTTCAATTAGGATTAGACATCAGGAAAATTGACAGTATGTTACTCTTTGATATTGTGTTACTTTTGACAAGGCAATAAAATAAAGATTTCTATGGCATCGAAGCTCTATGGGGTACTTAGGAATAGCAAAAGAAGGCTTCCAGCTACAGATTATTCCAAGTCAGCAATGAATCCCCAGATCTCACAGCCTGCCCTGAGGCTGACCGCAGGGCGTCCCTGCTAAGGGCAAGCCCTTCTGAGCAGCCAGCCCCATGCTCCTGACTGCACCCCCTTCGGGGCCCAGCATGCAGCCCTGGCTCAACCCTCCTCGTTACCCATCGAGATAGCAGGAATCCCTCCTGAGCACCGTGAGAATGTTCATTACCAGGATCCAGAGGGAAATAAAATATAAAACTAACCAAAAACTGAAGCTCCCATTCTAACACAGCAATATTTCTAGTTCTTAGTTAAATTGAAAAACTCATGTTATGAATATTATTCATATTAAGTTTATTATTCGGTAGGCTTATGGGATTTTTATTAATCCTCAAGGGCTCTTATGCTTTGAACTAAAATGTTTCCCTTTGATCTTTAATTTTCTCTTTTCTTCACTTCTCTTCTATTACTCCTTTCAGGAGCTTGCAGGGTCAAAGAACCTACAAAATCTTGAGAAAGCATCTTCAACATTTTCTTTTTTTGTCTTGGTATGTTTCCACACTTGCATCTGTGCCCACACAATCCAACTATGCTGGTGGCTTCTGGCCCATCTTCATGCCTGCCTCCCCGCCACAGGCAGCACCATGTCTGGTACCGAGGGCACTTAACTCACGCTTGCTCCACAAAAGCGTCAAGGACACAGGCCCAAGGCAGGAACCGCCCTTCCCAGAGTGCCCACTGGTCGGAGTCTCTGGGTCTGTTCTCCTCTGAGTGAGGTGATCTTCACTGGAGATGGGTTTGGTTCAGACCCCGCGAATGCCCAACACTTATAAAACATCCCTTCAAACAGGACCACCCACAAGCTCTTCTGGAATAAAAGACGAGGCTTGAGAATGAGAGACACGCAACACCGGGGCTGTTTCCTCAGACCCCAGGTAACCGCACCTGCGTGGACAATAACACCAGCGGCAGCAGCATGTCCTGTGAGGAACCCCGAGGCCACGGGAAGGAATGTGGGATACACTAAATAAGCCAACAACCTCGCCAGGGGTCTGTTTTCCTCCCTCTGCCCTGGCAGGCACCTGGGCAGGAGCGTGGGTGTGCGTGGGGGTCCCTTTCTGAGGGGCAGAGGCTGCTCTAAGCTAAACACCCAACTCCTCAGAAGTCAGTCATGTTGCTTCCTCGCAACACAAGATAACTGGTCAACAAGGAAGGGTTTTAAAAATTGAGCATTTGCATTTGTTTGTTGTTTATGTCTTAAGCCACTCAATACTAGGCAGCTTCTAAACAGGCAGGAGTCTAAACTAGGATGTTAAACCAGGGCCCAGAGTGGGGATGTAAATTAGTGGGAAAGGAAAACCACCTTCTCCATAGTTCTGTCCCCGCAGTTCCCTCGTCCCTGCCCCCCTCAAGCTTCTCTCAGCAGCTCATCAGCAGCCCCTCCGGCTCCCCCGGTCCACCCACTGTTGCCAGAGAAACTTCCACGGGACAGTTCTGATATCGGCCCCAGGATCCAAAGACCTCAGTGGGTCTTTGTTACCAACAGAACCACCCCCAGATCATCAGTGTAGCTTTCAGGTCCTGATGCCTCCATACCTACCTGAACAATCTTTTTCCACTACCATCCCCCTCCCCCCCGCCCTTCATTCAACACTTAGATTAACTCAGATCATCTTTTTGTTGAAAAGTTACTTAACCTTCCAAGTCTTGCTGTTGCTCTGAATATAGGGACAGCAGCAGCACCCAGCTCAAAGATTTGCTAAAGAATTAAAATGAGCTCACATTGGTAAAATCATTCAGGACAGCCACTGACATGGAACACTAACTCAGTATCCGTTATTAGCGTCTTTCCTTAGAACGTCTACCCCACACGGAGCCTAGAGGCACGTGACTGCAGACTGCTTTTAAGCTGTTGAATGCACAATGGCTAGGAGAGAACTCCTGCTAAATGATTCCTTCCAAGTCTGCTCTTCCTCCCATCCAACCCTTCCAAGTCTGAAAACTGTCAAGGGAAAGAGAGATCCAAATCCAATTTCTATCAGCCAAATTCTTAATGGAATCAAGACGAGAGAAGTGTCCTCTTTTTAAAAGTTGGGTCTCATAAGGTAAACGGAAAAACTCGCCCCCCCTCCCCCCCCTTTGATGGCCGCTTGCCTAGATTGCAGTGCTGGAGGATGACAGTCAGCGCCCGGGAATAGCAGTGAGCACAGCTGACCTGCGAGTCTAAACCTCACCGCCCAGACGGGGCAGTCCCAGCCTCAGGTCACAGCCGGCTTGGTCAGGCCTGGGCCCTGGGTAGGAACTTCCCCCTCCCAACCCTCAGAGCCGGAGGGAAGTGTGCAGGCCCATGGCCCCTGCGGAGGTCCTGAGCCCCACCTGCCTTTGTGCCAGGCCTGCCTGCTTACTTTTCCTGGAAACACGTAACTCTCTTCAAATGAGCCCCTTTCTGGAGCCAAACTGAGTAAGCTTTAGTTCACTGCAAGCTGATGTCTTCCTTTCGGACTCAAGGGCTTTCTAAGAAGTCAGTCTTGGGTGGCAACGGGGCTGAAGTTGTGTTGTCTCCGAGGAGGGGGCGTCCTCACAGAGAGGGCGAGGGTGGAGGGTCAAACAAAAGCCAGCTTCCATGTGTACCTGACCAAGGTCTTACCAAATTCCTGGGAAATGCAGCTTTCTCAGCCAAGAATGGCAAAATTCTCAAGTGGGATGATTTTTTTTAAAGCATTTTAAAAAAAATAGAGTTAACAGGAGTGATATATAATTACTTATCCAAATATGTCCCTTTAATAAAAAATAGAGCTTTCATGAAGAAAATGACAACATGCAAAACTAAGGGGAATCCTTTTATCCCAGCCCCACGGACAAGACAGTGTGACATGCCTAGACACAGGGAGGTTCTCCTCTCCTCCCTCAGCGACAACCTGTGCCGAGCTTTTGGAGGCGACAACGGTGAAGGGACACGCTTGGTGCAGCTCAGAAGTTTGCAATCTTGTGAAGAGGCTCCTGGGTGCACCTCTGCCCATCCACAGGCCCGGGCATCCAGGCTGTGGCTCCTGCAGCTCCGAGGGTCTGGGAGCTGGCGAAGAGCCCCTTTGCTCAAAGATCTGCACTCCCAACGCTCGTTCTCACCGCTAGTGATTAAGTTCACTTGACCTCCAGCACGGAGCTCGGTGATCCAAGGTCCAAGAAAAGCTGGGTGGCCCAAACCGGTTTGGCTCAGTGGATAGAGCGTCAGCCTGCGGACTGAAGGGTCCCAGGTTCGATTCCGGTCAAGGGCATGTAACTTGGTTGTGGGCACATCCCCAGTAGGGGGTGTGCAAGAGGCAGCTGGTCGATGTTTCTCTCTCATCGACGTTTCTAGCTCTCTATCTCCCTTCCTCTCTGTAAAAAAATCAATAAAATATATTAATAAATAAATAAAAAAGGAAAAGCTGGGTGTTCACCACCATCTCTGGACAGATCCTGGGTACCCGCAGAGCTTGTCTACTGGGAACTATGGAGCAGAGCACTCCCTGTGTCCCAAGAGACACACAGACAAAGAGGCGTGAAAACCAAGGGCTGATGCTATGCCTACGAAACTCTCCCTGTTTTGCCGAAACCGGTTTGGCTCAGAGGATAGAGCTTTGGCCTGCAGACTGATAGGTCCCAGGTTCAATTCCGGTGAAGGGCATGTACCTTGGTTGCAGGCACATCCCCAGTGGGAGGTGTGCAGGAGGCAGCTGACGGATGATTCTCTCTCATTGATGTTTCTAACTCTATCCCTTACCCTTCCTCTCTGTAAAAAAAAATAAAAAAATCAATAAAATATATTTAAAAAGAAACTCTCCCTGTTTCCCAGGCACAATGTATGTGTTTCCCTTTCTCTGGTAAAAGAATCATTCTCATATTGAAGCAAGGGATGCATTAGCGCCAGAGTGATTCACACATGGCATCCCTGATGAAACCTGTCTTGTTTCTATTGTCTAACTAAGAACTGTTATTAAAATCTCTTACGATGCTAATGAGCTTTCATGCTTCCATCAGCAGCGACGATGCTGAGACAGCACAAAGAAAGTGCCTGGCCGCTGCCCGTTGGGGAGGTCCCCCTCAATAAAGCATAAGTGGATGACAGCATCTGGGCTCTTTCAAGATAGCTTCCATAATTACTGAGCGGTTCAAAGCGGTGGGATCAGTGTTGAGGGGTGGGAGGAGAGGGGGGCTATTTCCTGAGGAGGCCCTGATTGGTCCAGGGGGGAAGGTGCTGAGAGCTGTGGAGATATTGGGGAGCGTGTTCTCCGTGACCTGCCCGCTGCCCTGCCACCCCCTCCTCTGGCAGGAGCAGCTCCTATTTTATGAGCAGGGAAGGGAAATGCACACGAATCCGCTTCTGCTAAGAACTTTTTCAATAAAAGACTTAAAACGGAGCGGAAAAGGCTATAAAGTGTTCTCAGCTGCCAGGATCATTTAGAAAGGCACTCATGGCTGAGTGAGTCCATGTGATAATGAGTCGCACTCCAGCTTTCTGCATTTTTAGCCAGAGAGTCAAGGCAGAGTGTCCTACATTAAAGTTCTTTCATACATGGATGATTGAATTTCTACAAAACCTAAAATGTAAAGAGGAATGGGCTCTACAGGGCTAGGCTCAGCAGATAGAGCACAGGCCTGTGGACCAATGGTCCTGGGTTTGATTCCAGT